TTATTAATCCATTAATATTCGACCCACGAATCGATTTTAGATTATAATCTTCTGATTGGATCAGATTTATTAGCAGAAGCGCGAATTTTGTTAGACGGTAAAGGTACAAAACTCTCAAGACACGAGCGTTGTAATCGAGTAGAGTCACCCATAGATGTTTTAGACCAACCGACGCAAAAAAAAAAAATTGTACAATCGAATACCAATAAGGCAACGAATTCAATCCCAGTGAGTATGGCGAGTGTGTGAGTCCAGAGCATTGAAACCGATTAAAGAGCACTGTGAGAACGTTAGTTTATTAAAATCAGTATGCAGCGAAGACAGTGAGCAGATGAAAGAAGAACACTTCGAACAATAAGACGGAAACCTTCATCAAAAGAAAGCAACCATGTAAAATTGCGAAAGTGAAAATAGAGAAAGCCAGATGTAGTCGTGTGTCATTCAGCTTGAGTGGAAAAAAGAAACAGGACAATGTAATGCACCCCGTCAAGAAATACGAGGTTCCGCGGAAGGTGCACAGTGGCGAGCATCCTGTTTTTTCTAGGATTTCGAAATGTGACCAGCGCGTAGGGAAGAAACAGTGCCCTCAGATATCGCTGCAGGATGGCCGAGTGTGGGAAGGGCAAATTCGGGGAAAGGGCCCAGAACTTTCCCCAACAATTGCAACCAGATGTCCCATAAACTGTAGCGAAAGTTAGGCCTGGGATTTGGGATCGAATTTTGTGCAGATGAGGAAAAAGGGGAGAGTGTATCGAGAAGCCAGAGAGCGAGTATTGAGAAGCGAGCGAATGAGTATCGAGAAGTCAGACAATGAGTTGAGAGAGAAGAGAGTGAATTTAGTAATTAAGGAAATAGTGTTAAACGTCAATTTAATCATAAAACCAATTTTCGTTTATTTAACCCTAAATAAACAACGATTCCTCTATTAAAATTCCTACAAATTGGGATCTCAAGCCGAGAATCCTACACATATATGATGTATATGATATGATATTACATCGTGTGAACTATAGAATATTGAAACATATTTTTTTATATAGATCGATTTCACACTCATTTTCATCACTTGAAAATAATAAACATTTTGTGAAATTACTTTTTTTTTGTTATTTTTGTGCCTCAATTAATTATGACAAACGAAAATAGTTCACAAAAATAATTCAGATAGCTGGTATAGTTACAGCTGATTCTGTATAGCATTAGTATCTCTGCTTATCGCATTAGTATCTCTGTCCTTATAATATGCATTGAAGTAGCTTTATATAATATTAAAATTCTGTCTTACGATTTTCTTCTCTAATGATTCCAATAGTCCATTTTATGCACTTATAGGAAATTTCAAAATGCAAAAATTACAGAGAATGCACATAGTATGACGAAATATATAAGACATCTAAAATACAGTAATACATAAAACAATCTTTACCGCGATTTTATTTTTGCAATTATAATCTTAAAAACATGAATTTGCATAAAAATGCACAGTCTAATTAATATAAAGTATTAAAATGTTATATGTAATTTATCTTAATCTTCGATTCAATTAAAATTTAAAATTCGAATTCAAATTTCACAGGACTACGATTTGACTTCTTTTTTTAAATCAAAATCATAATTCACGTTACGAGCGCGAAAATTAAGTATTACAAGAACGTTACAAGATATAAATTTAACATTTAGTATTATAATTATTTTTTGTAATTACTCCATATTTCTTATATTGAAGAATTTAAGTTTTTTTTCTCTATCTTAAGGAAGATAGAACTATGTTGTTACTAATTGCTACTAGTTTCGCTATCTCTGTTTCTAATTTTCTGAACTCATAATGATTTTCGTAGACTAAACTCTAATTTACGAAAATAACTCTCTATCTTAATCCTTGAACCAAATCATATTCTGAATCAAAATTCTTGTAACAGTCATAGCTTAATTACAATAATAATATTGCAATATTGCTTGTTTTTCCATCGTTGATATTTTACAACTTTTACGACTCGTAATAGTTATTCTTACAATATTATTTATATTAATATTATTCTTGTAATATTATTTAAAATAAACTTACCTTATCTGAAGTAAAAGTAAAATTAAGAAACTCTAAAAAGAATAATTAGTGTGATTATACAAGAAAATAATAGGAGATAATATATGAAAACATAATATATTTATGTATATATATATTTATATAATATTATTATTATTTAAATTAGAAATTTATATAATATATTTATATTTATATATAATATAAATATGTTATATTATTATATTTATTTAATATATAATAAATAGATTATATAGATATTTCTAATCTTATATTTTTATGAATATAATGAAAGACACAAAATCTGAATAAAAATTCGTTTCATCTACTAACAGGATACTAACTCACATCTAGCATAACAGGATATACTCTACTTTAAATATTTCATATACTTTTGCTTATTATATACATTTTGCAGATTTTTGTAATCTTAAATTTCTCAAAAATGTACGAACATCTGCAATCTATTTATTATGTAATGAAGAAGCGTTTAAAGGGCTTTTAATTATTTTAAAATAATACGCAAAATACATTAACAATATATGTTATAACTTATTATAATTTGACAATTTTTTACTTAAGCATTCTTATTTGTATTTTTTATTTATTAGCGGTCGACTACATGTATGAAATTTATTCATTTTTCCCTTTTATCTCCTTCAATTTCAATGTAGTATGTCATATACGCTTTTTCTGTATTTTAAAATTTTCTGAAAAAGAATGCCAGTATGACATGGAGCACGAGTGAACAAAAAAAAAATTTATATATGTATGTCATATGTTAATATTTTTTCAAGTGTTATTTATTACTAAAAATTAATCCTAAATAATAAATAAATATAATAAACAAAAATAATAAATAAAAATAAATTAAAAATTTATGCGATTGTTTCATTTCTCTAAAAATTTACTTTTATTGATGTAATAACAGATATTAATTATAACATTTTAAAATAAGTTTCTTTAAAATATAATTCTAATATCAACGGCATGTTTGTTTAACAACTTTGTTTATTAATAAAAGTAAGAAATAAAATTAAACATGAATTGGCAATAAATTCATTGTACTAAACAATTTTATTTCGATCAATTAAACGTTGAAGTAGGGCCGCCTTTGAATCAACTGCTGAAATGAGCAATATTTCAGTGTGTGACTTGTTCTTAGAAACAAGTACCCAGTACTCGTAGCAGTACTTCAACATTTCAATGAGAAGCTGTTCTTAAGAAGCGAAGAAAATACTTAATGATGCTTTCGGTTGTTTCGGAGAAATATAAGAGCATAATAACATACAATATAGTAATGCAGCATATTTTTACGTATTTTACATGTGAGAAATATAATATATGTATATTATTTATAAAAAAATATTTTACATTACGCTGCTTTATCAACATAATTCTCACAGTGAAGTCTCAGAGTATATGTTGCATAGTAAATTAATGAAATGCAATTGATTCTTGTTTGAAATATATTTACTCTGAAATAATTATTCGATTAATATCATAACATCATAAAAATTTCGATTTTAATATTATGCAATTGATTTTGATGACGAAAAATATGTTACTTCGGCTACAATGAAAATATATTAACTGATAAACGATTTATTTAATAATTATATTAAAAATACTATGTGTTCATAAATTATACTATATTATACTATTACATATTCTACTAAAATAAGTGTAATTACAGAAAACGTAAAAAAATAAAATGTTCAAAGTGGAAATGGAAAATATTTATGCAGTCTAGAAGAAATCTATTTTTGAAAATCAAAGTCGTATTTATATTTAAAAGCGATTAAAGCGATAAAATTAATTTAGCAATTTCACACATATTTATATACTGTATACAGATTGTGGTCATTAATTAATAAAAATAATTCATATTATGAATTGGAGAGATCTGTTTTTTCATTAAAAGCTTTGCACTTAGTTGAGTAGCAAGATTCAATGATCGATATTATCATGATATTACCGGTCGGGTAGAAATTCTTGATGAAAAGTTTCACTTTTAACAAAATTTAAAAATTTTAAATATTGTATATAAATACAGACACTTCACTGAAAATCGAAATCAGTTGCATAGGATTTTTATTTCGTTATATATTAATCTTTGAATAATGTTCAAGCAATATGAAAAAATCAGCACGTATTGCAAATATTTAAAAAAAATTTCACACATGCATAATGATAGGAATATAAAAATCTGAGGTTGTATGACGACATTAATTAGATTTATAGAAGTACATCCTAAATTTTCTACCATCTGTTATTGAACACTCTCTATATGTATTTTATCTAAAGAATATTTTTTTCTAATTCTTTTCTTCAATTTGTATCGATTAATGAGTTAAAAAGTATATGATTCTATTTAAAAAAGTGGTAGTGTTCTTGAAATCTCCGAAATGCTACCAACTATAAAAAAATTATTATCATGTTAAAAACTTTCTATACTGAACAACTTTTAATTAATCATTAAAATCAATTTTTAATTTATAATTTTTTAACTTTTTATTCTTTTTATACTTCCCCCCAAAAAAAGGAGATATTCAAGTGCTAATTCTTATTGGACCACCCTTATAATGACTCAAAGCTCGTTAGAATAAAATTTTCAATAAATGTATAAACATCGTAGTCTATTGATGAAAGAAATAGACTACGTATTGATTGGAGAAAATGTTTTACATTGCAAACGATATTCGCATTGTATTTACAAATTGAGCTAAAAATTTAATTCACTAACGAATGAAATATAGCCCACACATTAGATAATAAAGGATAAATGTAGTTATAAGGGGGTGAAGTTTGTTCCAACGGCGTAGTACGTTGTCTCGCAATGCTCGTTACATCTGAAATAGTATGTAGGGTATAACGTGCCTATAGTTTGAAATTCGAAGCTAGCTACGGCATTGTCCCCGCGACACTTGCTCTATAATAGTGCAAACGGTAATATATCGTATTAAGTCATGATCAGCTTTCGGACATTGGCCATCGTTTATTTATGTGCGCATAGTCGTGATACATCGTACACACGATCGACTGATTTTTGTTCCCGCGACCTTTGCTGCTTGATCAAGCTTCTCCGAAGTTCGTATTTTCTCACCAAAATTTAAGAAATTCTACGAACTGTCGTGTTACTCAAGGTGAGTCAAAGAAATTGTTTCCTTTTTTTTCCTTTGTGCTTGCCATTGTACAACGTTTGCGTAGAAGTAAGTCGATCTTTACGAAATAATATAAGGGAAACTATAAATGATAAATTCTAAATTAGTGATCAGCTTTCGTAATGTTTAACTGCAAAAGAGCTTTGTAATTGAAAAATTTCGTTCTAGTTTCTATACGATGTGGTTTTATATTTTAATACTTACTAATTTAAGACTTGTTACACAAACAGTATTTTAAACACCTAAATATTTTTCTTGTCATAAGATTGTTTATATTTTTATTAATGATTTATATTATTGTAATGATATACTAAATATTTCGTACTGTTGTCATTGAGAATATAATTCGTATTAACTTCACAAAGTTGCTATACATATTACAGGAGTCAAATATTTATTATACATTTTTGGAAAGATAATTAATCATATTTTCCAGTATTTATATATTAAATAATCGAAGTTTATCATGATGCATCAATAAAAAAAAAAACCATGGAAACTTTATTATGTATATTATACACATATTTCACTATACTATATGGATGCATTAATTTTTTTAATCTTTTCAATTAATTTTATTTTTTAGAATATTTTTAATTTTCTCTGAACACAATTGTATCGTATTTATATTAAATCAACTGTCAACTTTATTATTGGAGAAATTTCTGACTAACAGGTTAAACTTCTGTACCAATTTTATATTCGTCTCTAACAGATTAAAATCACTAGTGCATACATCTCTTTTTAAATTTCATAAACTGCCTATAAAATATTAGGAAATATTATACTGTTCATTCAACGTTCGTTTACGGAAATGCTCGAGCAACTTTCTTCCTTCATCGTATCTCGTAAGTCGGCTAAGAAACTTTCTTACAAACTCCACTTCCGATAAATCATTAAACAATCGATAGATAACTTCTAATTAATTAAAAAATTCGTGTTAGTTTTTTTATTCTCGTTTCCAATAACATGTGTACTAACATTTTTAGACAATTCAGTAAAACATTTAAGCATAATTTTTTTAGCAGTACAAAAAATATTTCAGTTACGAACTGTAAACGAAACATTATAACTTAACTTTGTAGTAATTTTCTTGTTACAAGTACTTTAATAATATTTCCGAAAAAAGTTAAACTTTACTAAAAAAGTTACTAAACAATTATATTAATTCATAAGTAATTATACACAGTGAATGTCACTTGAAATCGTACATCTAAAAATTCTCGACGTGAAAAAGATACACAACCATCAATTTTAGTACAATAAAGTATAATGAGATACAATACATTTTTATTGAACACAAACGAGGTACAAACCCTAAATGAAGTCGTGCATCAAATTTTAGAAAGTCGTTGCAAGTGGAAGCTTCAATTTTTAAATTCAGCCACGGAAAAAATTTTTCGATGTTCTTACTATCCATACTACGATATTTGTAGCATTTTCAAAGAAGAAGTATCTTTATATTTCCATTCGCTACATGGTATAAAAAAAAAAAAAAATTGATTAGGAGAAAATTAACGTTGCATTGAGAAAATAAACATTTCATGCTTTGAAATGAGCCCTGATTAATTATTGTATGATTTTTTTCTCATGAAATTATAACACGATTCATGGTTTTTTTCGTCAAGTTTAAGCATCGACAATTCTCTGATGTACGATTTTAAGTGACACTCGCTGTACATTATATTATACTTAAAAATTATATTATTATACTACATATTTGTATTGAACTTTATATCTTTGTTGTAGACATTTATCTTCTAATTACGTTGATTACTATGGATGTTAATATAAAGCTCTGTAAAAGCAGCAATCAAACTTGGGGCATTCGATTATCCGGAGGAGCTGACTTTAGTTTTCCATTAACTGTCGTCAGGGTAACGTGCATCATATACATACTACTTATTGAAATCTCGGAAGAATCGTAACAAATCGATCAATAAATATCTCATAAATATCAAATGCATCGCCTTTCTGAATTGGAAGCGTGGATCGCGTCACGTTCTGGTGATTTCGTATATTTCGAAAAATTGTCGCGGCAAAGGCAAATATTCGCGTTTTCTGCTTTAGAGATTTTTATCGGCATTGCATTCGTATCGGATCGCGTGACCTCGTTTTCCTTCGGCCTAAATCCCACGGTCGGTCCAATGGAACATCGTTCTAAGAAAAGAGGAAATCATTAATCGAATCGTAGATGAAAGACTACTACATATTCGTGAATCTTACAAATTTTTAGCGGTAATCGTATCGTCCTTACCTTCTATTTCTCTTTCTCCTCGAGCTTTCGTTGACAGATCTCAAATAGCAGAATTCAATTTCGATATAAATCTTCATTCGACACTAGAACTACTGAACTGTATTAGAGAGACTAGAGTAGAAGAAACAGGAATTTATAGTAAAGAGCATGAGTTTTTATTTGTATATTTCACAAAAAATCACTGAAATTTTTAAAAATGCATTGTTCTAAATCCACAAATTTTTTTTACAAAAAATGATAAATTAGTTATTTTGAAAGTTTTAGTGTCGAATGTTTTTATTAAATTGTAAAATCTCAAAATTCACAATAATAACTGCTGCGATAGAGTAAATTGCTGTGTAAATTATATAAACACATAATAATACATGTTGGAATAACATTTCATTAAAAATATATAATATTCGGGTAATTATGATTTAATTGAATGAAACATTCTTTTAATTCTTTAATTCTTTTAATTAAAAAGGTACTTCTCGGAGGACTGGCCGATCAAGCTGGTATACAGGCTGGCGACATAGTTATCAAAATAAATGGGGAGACTATACAGCATTTGAGGCACTGCGAAGTTCGCGACCGTATCGTCAATGCCCAAAAGGAAGTCATATTGACAGTCGTGCGAAATCTGAAATTCGAACGAGCCGTTTAACGAAAATGTTCACAGATCTCACCACGAAATATCGAGCAATCACTCTTTTTGTAAACGATACGATTATATTGAATTTAATTAAAATAACATGTCATACATCAAAAGTATTGACTTTCAGGCCAAACATGTTAATTTTGATAATTAAGTCAATTGTATAAGTATAGGATATTGATAAGCAACACGATGTATATTGATATTCTATAATTAACGATCACCTTCATGCTTAAATCTTATAGTATAAAGTCGACTTTTCTCTATGAAATCTAGATATTAGATATGCAATCTAATTTATAATGTTTTGTTGCTATTACAGTATAATAATATGCATTGATGTATTCATATTATTGTATATAGTCAATAATGATTAATTTGCAATCGTAAAGAAATTTTGAACGAGAAATAAATTTTTAATCCATTCAAGGATAATTAATTGAATATTTAATTTAAATTGTATTAATTGACAATACCTTAAAATCTGAAAGTACAATAAAAATATTATTTGTTGGCTGTTTTTCATGATAGTTCTGGCATCGATAATCAAGGTCCATCGGAACAAGCTTGCAACATCATGTTGTCGTTACGTGTCACCGATTGACCCACATTGCAAAATACAATTTGTCAACTATTGATCCGGCCTCTATGATCGTACCTTCTCTGGCAATGAGTCATCAGTCTGTTAAGGTGACGTTTTAAAACACAATTAATCGTTCTATTCAAACGGTAGATCAAGATCTTCCGTTGTATCGCACTGAACAAGAAAAATGATTAATTGAATATTAATTTAAAAAAATTTTTTTTTTCAACGTCAAATTTATAATTAATAATTAATAATCTGGATACAGTATCTAATTACGTAACGTCAAAAGTAAAGTAAACTATATATTACAATGCTTAATTGCTGTCGATAATTAATATGTGCAAAATAAAATATTGCAAACTAGAAAAAGTGAAATATAAAGAAATATAAAAACTGAAAAATGATGAATACACGTGCATATTCTGAAATTGTTAGAAGAATCTAACAATAACAATAATTTTATTGTATTTCTTGTTTTATTTTTTACTTCAACACTGTTAGATTAGGTTACCATAATCGAATAATTTAATGGAATTGCATACTATAGATACAATCTATCTTGTATCCAGAGAAAGGCAACAGGTGATAGACTGTAGGATGGGATATACAAACTAGGAAAATAAACGTTACAATGATACTTGTATTTAGAAATATTTTTATATTACAAATATTATAATTTTCAATTCATATTAATGATAATCGTACCATTTAGACAATTTGAATGGAATAAATTATATTGAAACGGTAACAAACATTTATTAGACAACAAATCGAATGAATCGAATGAATCGAACTAATTTGTATATAATTTGAATCAATAAAATTTCTTTACTCAATATAGGCACCCACGAGAAACTCGATGATACGTTAATATATTAAAAATACTGTAATTCCTGTAATGCAATAAGAATATTTACTTCGATAGTTTGAAAGAAATGAAAGAACATTCTCAATTCAAGTTCGGAACAATGAAAACAAATCGCAAACGTGTAAATTATTGATTATGTTCAAATTTATTTATTAACAAACGAATTTAGGAGTAAATCTTTTTTTAAAATAGATAAATATATAGAAATAGGTAAATGTTAATTGAAAAATCGACATAAATTTTCAATGTAAATGAATTACATCGATATTACAGAAATTTTCAAAAGTAACCTTCCATAGACTAGGTTTAGACAGACAATTTATGATATAACAATGTAACTGCTGATGCATTCAATTTGTAGGATATGATTTGAAAAAAAAGCGGGAAAATGAAATGACTAAAGATAAATTATAGATATATCACATAATTTAGTCTTGTTTTAATATATTAGATGTTGTTCATTATAATATATGACTCTCATACTATATGTCAAATCATAACGTAAACAACATACACGCTAAACAACTCCATTTATCGTATCAATAATTTACACGAAAACTGTACAGTATATCGCTTTTATCGGCAGAACACTCACTCACGTTACGACAGACATATACGCAATAAACAATTTTTATCACACCTCTCTGCTCCTGTTATGGAGTCATTGAAATTGACAATTCATTAACGATTCTTTTTTTTTTTTAAGGATATTCGAATAATGAAAGGAACATATATAAAATACGGACTATTATTATAAGTAACGATCACACGCGAATGAATCCTAAATTATTTTCATCTTCGCAAAACTATGTTTCTTTGTTTAGAGCAGATATGTAACATTATACAATAGTTGTGAAGACAAGACAAATTTGTCAAAATAGAATCACTTTCAATGGTACAAGTCAACATTTGTAAACGAAAAATTTACTAAATATTACTACTTATAATGCATTCATGCAAGTCGTCAATATACTGATGTATCATCGATATACACCCAAGTCGCAATATTTGGCAACATTAATAAAATCATAATGATATGATAATTATAATGATATGTTCGTCCTATAATTTAAAATAACCGTTAACATGTCTTTGCGAAGTAACGGATATTCATCTATTCGAAATTATAGAAACAAATACATATTACATAGACACGCCATTTCTTGTAAATATTTCCTAAATCTTAATTGCTCTATTTTAAAACGATAGCTTCATGCGAAGAGGAAAACGATTACTCGAACCTAAATGATATTACAAAACATTCAAGATAAGCAAGATAAGTGACGAGAAAATTTATTCCCGCCATGTCTAAACACTAATTATAATAATTAGCACGTAGAACAGCATTTGAAATCATTGCCATATCAAGTAATAAAGATCACGATTGACCTTGATGTATAAACCTACACTTTGGTTTATGAATACATTATATAATTATACACAAGACTCGAGTCTTGGTCAGACAAGTCCATAAATCGGAAACAAGGTTCCTCTAAAAGCAGAACTGGGACGATTCCAAGACAGAACTAGGAGTTCTTTATTCACATCTACGTAATTATTGAAAAATTATCTGTCTCGTTGAAGACCTGGGTAATTTTTTCAAAGAACGAGATTCATATACATTCCTTTCTATGTTTCCTTTTTCATCCATTTTATTATTCATTTCATTATTCATTTTATTATGTTTGTATTTACAGTTTCTTACTTACTGCAAATTTAATAAACTATATTTATATAAAATTTGTATAAATATTAATGTTTTTTGATAGTAAAACAGCAAATAAACATATTTATATTATATTGTATGTAAATACAAATTGTAAAATGAAAATTTTTGAATCAAGTAATACATGGTATGCGTGTATTCCATTTTATTTTCTCATTCCAATTTCCAAACTTTTGTTTAATTATTATACACGTTCTATTAATGAAAAAAAGCTTTAATGAAGAGTATTAACAGTATTATTTTATCTATTTCAATAGCACCGCTATTTTACCCTTCGCATGAAAATTTGGTGAATTGCGCAATTTTGTTTACTTTTTGCGACAAAATACACAAAATTAATTTATTTTGTTAAATATTTGTATAAAATACTCATTTTGTCGTAATTTATCGATATTATATTTATATGTAAAAACAAATACATATTTATATGTAAAATATGTTACAAGCCACAGGTCTTCAATTTGCAACAGGAATCGCATATTGAAAGAAAGTCAACTTTCTGCGATTCCATTGAATTTTTTATACATCATCATTCTACTTCGTCCTCTCTGGATATCAAAGATCTGCCATAGTAAGTATACGTACAATACGATCAGGTACAAGAGTAGCATCTCGGGATTGATCTGTTTTAGAGAGGACGAAGCATCTCAACAATCGTTTTAAACTAATCACCTTCAGCTTCCTTGATTTTTTTTATTTCATTGATGAATGTATAAAATGTATACGATAATCTCGCTAAAAATAATTTTTATTCTTTTAAGTAAAATTAAATTTCAATTTAGGATTACATGCAAATAAAACTGGAAAACACTCAAGGCATACAATTAATGATTTCTCAAAATAGAAGAGTTTTCACAGTTTTTACGACGTTTAAAAGTCTAACTTTCAATGTGACCTTCATATATGTATGAAGGTCACTCTCCTGAGTAATCTTCAAGAGGTTTCAGTCATCTGTTAAAAAGTTATAAGTCACTCGTTAAAACTTGGTTAAATTTTATTCATAAAATTAATTTCACCAATTTTAATAAAATAGTCAATAAAATATGTTGTTAAGAGCATAATTTCAATTTTTGTTGGCCAGGAATTTATCTTTTTATTTAAAAAATATTTTGTTACTTTTTTGCTTATTGATTTTGGTTTGGATTGGCGTAATATGTATATGTATGAAGTTAGATAAGAAATATTTTGAAGGTTACTCAGAAAGATGATCTTGATAACACAAGATGATCTCATCGTGAAACTCAAGATCATTGTAAGTAATTGTTTATATACCCTATATTTATCGTTTTTATATATGATTCTGAAGAATTTTTCTCTATAGCTGCAACATTATGAAGCATCAATACAAAGAATGTTCCGACATACATTAACAGTATTTGTAATACCTAGCATTGAGAAGGTGTAAAACTCCTCAAATTTATGAGTGATTATCACCTGCTACTATTTTTAACATCGTGTTCTGTTTATTCTTCGTTCTAAAAACAGGTAGAAATCCGTATACATTTGTCTCCATTTTATGTCATGTCCACCAAAACAATGACTATTGGTCCATCTGTTCTCTGGTTTCTTCGGTATCGGACACTGACACCGTCCTATCATGATTCGTGCAGTTGTCTGTTTTACATCTAGACTCCGCGATCTTCAACCACTGTTGTTTATTCTTTCTAACCCCTTCGACCAATGGTTCCAATTTATCCGATAATAAAGCGAATGCCTATTTACAAAAATTTATTTTATATTTAAGAATCTTGACAACATAAGAAATATTTGTAATGTGATGAAAAGAAAGAGTTCAAATTTTAATTTATCGCAACTAAGAGTATACAATTAATTCAGGCAAGGTAAAGTTATTAAAAAGTATAAATCCTTATACTTAATAAACTAATATGTAAGACCATTAAAAGACCAGTAAAACAATAAATAAATAATAGATGGATAGAAAGTGAATTTTAATTCTGATGAATTATAACATTTTGCAAATTACAATTAAATAATATCCTTCATTTACTTTAGTAATATTAAATTCGTGGACTTCTTTTCCATATTTAATGTATTGAAATAATTTAATGCTGAAGCAACAAAACTTTATATAATATTGCAAATTAATATAATACTAAAACATATAAGTTTAAGATTTATGAAGAATATAATTTTTTGAAATTTATACACGTTACATTATTTCCGATATATATTATCATATTCTTTGTACTATCACATTAACTTAAATGATCATGATTTAACAATAAATTAATAATAAACGTGATTCTTTAATAGTATTTTGCTATTGTCGATAGTGTAGAAAGTTAGTTACCTCGTATATAGGAAGGCATATCGAATCGATGAAGCCAACTTGCATCATTGGCAGTTGGTCTTCCTTCTCGCGGTTCATAATGTCCTGCAATATCATATGAGTAACGATGCTATTTTTTAATTGCAAGTTTTAATACAATATTTTCATAAAAAATAAATTATAATTATTAATGCTATTAATAACTAGAAAGATATTATTCATAAAATAGTATATTATGTCATGTTAAATTACAGAAAAACAAATAACTATTTTAAATTTTTCTGTAATAAAAAATTTTCTTAAAAATTCATTAGTGCCTTCTTAAATGCATGTGTATTAAAAACATCTCTAGTTGATACCAATGACAATAAAAGCAAGAATCATTTGTCTGAAACCAAGAATCAGGTTTACAAAATGGTATTGTTATAATTATTCAAAAGACAAAGAATTATTTGAACTTTCATTAGAAAATTAGGACATTTTTTGTATCATTGAAATTATCTTTTTAGTACTTTTATACTACATCATATGCACAATAGATAAATTCACTTTTCTATTACTATCACTTCAAAAGATAAAAGTTATTTTAACAGCAAAAATTATTTACTAAATGTTTCTTACATCATATCATATATAATGGAGTTATTTTTTTTAATTACTACTTTTTACGGCTAGGTTAATTTTTCTATTACTTAGAACTATATTGTAATTAAATACTAAAGTTTAATTTAACAATACATACAATAGGAGTGATATTAAGAGTCCGCCTTTCGATATCTCCTTGTTCGAAAAATTCACTGCTAACCAATTCTGCCACTCTCTTCTCAACTTCCCAGGGTTTAGTTATAGCAGCTAAATCACATACAGTCATCAACATTCCTCTTAAAAGTTCCCGGTGATCACTATAAGCCCAATTGTAACCACTATTTTGAGCTAAGCTAAGAAAAGCTCCTCTTCTTCGGAAGTAAACTGCTAGATCGGTAGAGAGGATTGCTTCTTCGAGAACTTTTACCACACGAGAATATTCTTCGGGAGATAAATTTGATAAAATTTGATTTCCCTGGCTACTCAATATCATAAGACACTGATCAAAATGATGATGTTCCATCGTTGATGTTGAGTAAAGTTGTGCCAATGGCGAGGACGCTCTGTAAGTCATAGAATTATCGAAATTATTTTTTTCGTATTTTCTAAATTTTTACTAAAGCAGTGATTGTTTTCTGTTTATAATGTTTATACTCACTTGATTTGAAAAGAATTATTCGTACCCCGATGATCCAAATCGTGACACAAACAGGCAATAATTAATGCAAGACACTCAATTTCTCCAAAAATTTTCCACCATTGTGTGGCCTGAAAACAATAATACAAATATATTTTCAATACAATTTCATATAATTTAAAATATAATATTGCTCTATTTACTTACAGTTAAAATGGCAAACATCATTTGCGCAACATTGAACGCGTGACGCCAATTATGATATGTGACATTTCGATAATTCTTTTTTACACTAAGAAGCCAACGACAAAGGACATCGTAGTCAATATGAAAACGTTCCACGAAATCAAGATCCAAAAACATTCGAAGACACGCTGTCAGAGTTTGGTCGTCTTCCATATGAATGTCATCGAATTTGAAATCGTGCAATTGAAAATACGCTGCAGAAGGCACTCTTAAACCCTAAAATTATGTATCAAGCAAATTTATTTTGAATTACATGAAGTACGTAAATATTATCGAAAAGTGATTTTTGAATTCCCCGCAAAAAATAAGAGAAAGTTCAAATTTTGTTCGATTTTTAATATTTCCAGCTTAAAAGTAGCTGGACTCACCCTTAATCTTTGTGCATCCTCCAATGATGCGGAAGCGTGGTAACTAAGCACTTCTAATGTGACGCTTTGTTTGGCCATTGCTATCACAGCTTTTTCATACCTAAAAGTAATCATTAAACAGAATCAATTATAGGAAATTCATTTGTTTTTGTCAATTAATACAAAAGTAAATTTGTATTACGTAATACGACAAACCGTGGTCACTGATATCGGTATTTCTATTTCTATAAATATTTTAGAATGATTAAAATAAAATGAATATCATCGACAAAGATACTTTAATGAATATTGTAAAATGGAAAATTCATGGTAATCATTACATTTTGATACAGGGTGACTCATAAATAATATTCAGATGGTAAATCTATATATTAATATATATATATATATATATATATATATATATATATATATATATAAATGTTATTAGACTTATGAATGATTAAAGAAATTCTAGTAATTATTTCGTATAACAACACACACTATTACGTGCTTTAATAAATCCTGACCTCGTGTAATGTTTATTGAACAATATCGATCAATATGAAGCATTTAGAGATTATTGTCTATTCAACGCAGGTGAATAGTGAAATGAATTTGAATATCAGGTATTTTCAAACAAAAAATTAAAAATTTAAAAATTTTCTTTAATTATTTTCTTCGATTATCCATAATTTAGAAATTATATAATATATATACAGTACTCATATTAGAGTACAGATTATATTAAATATTGATATATCCATTAATATTTATATATCTATGAATCATCTTGTATAAATATGTTATTTGTATAAATGTGTGACAAAAAATTAATTATTTCGTCCCATAGGCAGAACGAGACATTTAAATTTCGCAGTGCAAGTCAACGTATTAATTATCAAATAATTCGATTAGTTTATTTCTTGAATATTTACATGTGTGTGTTGTGAATTCCCATGCCGCAGAAAATAGCAAATGCCTCGACGAAGTTCTCGTCGTTCTTTGTAAAGACAAGATCGTCGAATTTGTTGATGAGCTGAATAACGCCGATAATCTGACCGGATGAGTTCTTGATAGGCATGCAGAGGATAGTGCGATGCCTAAATCCAGTGCCATCATCTACCGAAGGATCGAACCTTGGATCGTCATAGGCGTTCGGTATATTCACGGTCTGAAGAAATTTAATAGAACAATTTTAATTATAAATTGCAAAAATGGAAAAAACTGTTACGATAATACATTGCTCTATTAACCAGTTCATTTACCTCGCCAGTCGTAGCGACATAGCCAGTGATGCCGACATTTATAGGGAATCTGCTCTCGAATGGACTGCGTGAACAAAACCGAATACATATAAGGTTTCCGAGGAAATTGAATTATTGCTGGTAATTGAGTGAAGAGAAATGAGAACGTAATTACAAACTTCATTCACCTAGTGCGAGAATCTGAATCCTCGCCGGTGAGGTCGTTCGCCTCGAAATCAAACACTCGTGAGAAACTCCCCTTTGATGCCTTGTGCACGAGAAGGACCTGTACAGAATATTTAATTTTACGTTAAATATTTTCTTTCATATACATATTATCATACATTTTGTATATATTATACAGCTGAATATAGGTTTAAAACAATTGATTTACCTGTACTCGCTGACACTGTATTAAGGATTGTGTATGCGTTAAAATCCTCAAGACCATATGTTCTATCGTGCTTTGTTCTTCAAAAATCATCCTAGCCAAGTCCAAAAGTACCTGAAATAACAAATAAAAGGCGTATTTAAAATCAGTAATTTGAATTAAAGGAGAAAAAAAGAGTCAGAAGATCAAAAACGTGAGAGTATGAATTATTTGTTTACTATTCGATGTATTATTTCATCATTCGTTATGCGTTATATCCGAGCAATTTTACGAGTTACGGAATATTCTGTTCAATTTTGTTCATTTACTGACCTGATTTCTTTTCACTTCTAATTGACTTTTTTCATACAGCTGCGCATTCCTTAATCCAATTCCACAGAATTGCAAATATCCAGCGAAAACTTTTTCATCTTGCGTAGTAAATTGACTTTCGCCACCGAGTTTATTGATAACCTGTGCAACTCCAATAACATCTCCATTGCAATCCTTTATTGGCATACACAAAAGAGCTCTGGTTCTATATCCCGTTAATGCGTCAATTTCACGGTTGAATCTTGTGTCCTAAGAATATATTTATCAACTTTATATAATATAACTACTAATAAATTATAATAATCAAATAATAAATAATTGTGGTATATAATAAAATTTCATATAACGATTTTATTTAAAGAATAATTTTGGTTTCTAAATCCACCATTTTTGCAAATAGTAGATATATAAGTTATTTATAATAGTTTATATATATATATATATACATCTGTAAAATTTTAAATATTTAAAAAACAAGGATTTAACACACTTTATAGGCACTAATTATTAGTTATTAATTAAAGTTATATAGAAATATCATGTCATCATGTTTTTTATGTTGCTAGAAAACATAATAAGTCAAAGTAAAAAGACACGAACTCTAGTGTACAATCATTATTGATACATTGTACCAAGAAACATGTTCTTATTACAATTATAATTATAAAATTTTATTCGTTTTATTTTATATGTGATAATTATAATGTACATTGATTTTTCTAGGCTCGTATTTCTGATTTATTGTTTTTTAAATAAATGAAAGAAACATTGTCATTATTTTAGAAATGGTTCATTTTGACTAGAAAGAAATTAATTAATCCTACTTCTATCTTCAAATTTCTTACTCTCATTTTAGGAAATAAAAAGAATTTATAATATTTCACGAAGAGAAAGAATTAAGAAATTACTAATAAGAATTTTTTCATGCATTAAGATAGAAAGATACAAACAGGTCAAAAATGGCCAAAAGAATTAAAATCCATAAAATCCAAAAATGGCCAACAGGATTAAGATCCATAAAATATAAGAAATTTCTTTTTCTGTTTTAAATATTTGAATTTTAACAGACATATGTGTGTAGATCTGTATGTATAACTGACTATATAAACATGTACCACTGCTTAAATTATTCGAATGATACCATTTTTATTTTTTTTTATTTCTATTATAAAAACAATGTTTCTTACAATTGTTAATACATACAATTCTTTATCGTAACAATGAGCATTATTTTCATTATATTATTATTTTTATTATAATGTATAAATTGTATGTACCTAAAATTTACATTATTTGAGCAATGTTCAACTACTGATGTCGTTTGTATAGTACTAAACATAGCACAAATGTATACATGCAACATATATATAAATATATGCTGTAGAAAGCCCATCATGGTTTCGAAAATTGAAGTCTTTCTCTTACAACAATCCTTTAAAATTTATTGCATGATTTTTTTCACAAAATTATGAGAGTTTAAAGTCGATAAGCATTTAAATATTAAAAATGATAATTTTTTATTGAGTGCTTTTATTTCTACATCCATTATACTTTACTATATATAATAAAATTTAAATGTTTCGTTTAACAATAAAATGAGATTTGGAATTACTAGAAAAAATAGAGATAATTTTATGTTAAAGATGAAAATAACAAATCTGATAACTTCGTTAATTGTCTATCTATACAATCTGAACGTTATCTGAAATATTTATTACTCACTTTCATACAGAATCAAAATGTTACTACTTTGTATCAATGTAATATTTTAATTCTACTTATGAACTCACATGAAACATTTAAATTAATTTCCTACAACAAAATCTTTAATATAAAAAATCTTTCGTATAAAAGAAATGAATTACAATTAATTATATAGATTTAAAATCTAGAAACTAATTATTTCTAATGGCAAGTATAAAAACATTTAATATTTACATTAATATGTGAGTGTGTAATTATTAATAATTACATAATTACATTTTCTCGATTGGGATACAACATATAATTAAAATTAAATATTTTAATATGTTCCAAAATTAAGAAATTTAATAGAAATATTATTAACTTGAAGTTTGGGAACTGTAACGAAATAAGTTTTGAAGAACTTAATTCACAATTTTCATTGAAATAAGAAGTAAAATTAAAAAATTTCAGAAATACTGTAAAATGAAATAAAATTTGTAATTAAGAATAAATGAAATATAATTTTTGATGCAATATTATTATTTTATCCTATTTCATATCGTTTAACATTTAAAAAAAGATTCATTTATAATATTTAAAGATATTGCACTACTTGATTTGATTCTTATTCCTTTTTTCTCTGTATCATAAGTACTTCTGGAAGCAGCGCCTTTTCAAATTACAATTGATGAAAGTAATAAGTTATATTTTATAAGAACAAAAATTAATTTTTAAATTTTCAAGACTTTGTAATGAACACTTCCTAAAGTTTCTAATTAGTCCACAATTTTTATTGGTTTAATATTTTGTTAATATTATAATTTACCTTATTTAAATATCTTAAACTACATACATTAATTCTACATTCTATGCCTCTTGGTTCTTTTTTAAATTTAAATTATTATGTTTATTATATTAATCTCTATTACATTAAGTAATCAAAATAAAATTGAAAATCAATATACAAAGTTCAGAATTAAAAACTTCTATTTCCTACGTGCGTAGAATTAAATCTTGTGCGACGTTCTAAAATATATTTGTATATAAAACTGATAGAGTTAATTGTTCATCATTTTAGTAACACTAAATATATTTCCTGCAATTATTAATTTATTTTATACGACAAATGCAAATAATAAAAAAATTGAATAAATAAATATAAAATAAATATAAATAGACACTAAATAAATATTACGTGATTAGATTAAATTGTGATACAATTTCAATTTTTCGTAGAATCTATCTGTATTCACGGTTACAATTTAATTTTAAAAACATATAAATTTGGATCTGGCAAAATATCACGAAGTTGTAAATATATAATAAATCTGTATTACGTTACAGTATTAAGAAGACGTCAGAAGTAATGCATAATTTAGTCGGCTACTAATGTAGACTCTAACTTACGTAAATTTATTGGCATTTATTCAGTTTTCCTTCAGATTAAATCTAAAATACAAGGAAGATTAATCCATTCTCAAATAGTAATTACAACCATATTTTATATTTTATATTTTTACTTAATTCTCATAAATTGTTTGATAATGATAATTTTTTCTAAAATATTACTTTTTAACCAAATATTGTACCAGTTTTCTCTTCATTTGTTTATTTATTATTTGAAAAGGATATTATAATATATAAATCAAAATAGATTATGTTACATAGACAAAATTATTTTATTTTTAATTTATATTTATTATTTCATAATTTTATTAATTATATTATCATTAACCATTATAGAAGATTAATTATATTAATTATATCATCCTTAATCATTATAGATTTGAAAAAATATTTGAATCAAAATTTAAAGAAAAACTACGATTAAGTTTTTAAATGAAGAGATGTTTTTCATTGTTGCAAATTTTTATTTCTATATGCAATAGTGATATTTCCAAAATATTAGCTATGTAAGTACATACATACTTGTATAGTAACTGAAGTTATTCATACTTTGAGATACTAACTAAAGTTGACATGTCATCGGTAATACCATTATTCGTATATGTATGTAAGTAAGTGGAAGTTACTCGGTCAGAATTTATACTATGACAATGCTAGCAATATTACATTATATATTATACAATATTAAATATAAACATTAACTTTAGAATTTAATATTTTAAAAATAATTTTTGCAAAGGTCTTACAACGAGAGTCTTGAAACGTTATTAGATATAATTATTTTATTAATTCAAGAAGTATTCTAAAATAATATGTAATATTCACACGACAATAGACTCATAATAAAAACTCAAAACAAGACGTGCTTATAAAAAATAATAGGTATAATTATTAATCACAAAAAATAATAGATATAATTATTCTCTATCTGCCAAATTAATAAATGAATAAAATTGTCACAGTTCATGAAGAAGTATCTTTAAAATATTTTCGTATATGATAACTTTTGAGTTCTGCCATAATACAAATGCATAATACAACTAGTATTTCGAAAGTAATTTAGATATCTCGAAAATAGAAAATATAAGTTCCCACGTAAAATTTCATTACAACTTTCACAACAGTTTTCAGAATTATCATAAAGCTAAATAGATATCAATATAATTTACCTTCTAACTTTTTTTTATTTGTACAAGATGTACTCGTATATATCTATTTCAATACATTTATTGATACATTTTTATACAATTATCATTTTATTTAAAATTAACTTAGATATTTTCGAGATGAAATCTTATACAAAAATGAAAACTGCACGAAATCAAATTATACTAACAAGATATAAATATCTTATTACGAATTATACATTAATGAAAGTAATAAATAGTAAAATAAGAATAAATAAAGTAATAAATGTATTAATGGCAGTTCACAGTTAATTTCAAGACAAAATCTCAATTTATAATTTAAAAAAAAAATAAATTGAAACATAACATTCCATTCTATTTAAAAATTGTGAATAAGAAAAATTTCGAGAAAGCTATTGTTACATTAAAAAATTTTTTTGTAATTTATTTCATACAAATCATAAAAGTCATAATTCTATTTGTGATTTCATTCGTATTTATTTCAAATTTATTTGTACTATACATTTGTACTCACATTTAAAATCTGAAAATTGTTGCTTACCGAGAAAAAATCTGATTTTTGTGTTTCTAAAAATTATAAGTTAATATTTTGGTTCTACAAAATCTTTTGTTATAATTGCTGATAAAATTTTTGCTGAAATAATTGTGCACACAGTAGCTATAAAGTGTTTGTATATTATCCTTATTTTTCAATTAAGCATTTTTAAATTAATTTCATTTTTATGGGATTAAATTTTCATTGGAAGTATCATTAAATAATACGAAATTGAATATACTTGAATTATTTACAAATTAGTACACAAAGATTATTATAAATATAACAGTATGCAAATTTTTTTTAACCATTATATATTCATACAATTCTATGTTATTTCAAATTAAAATTTCTGTAAAATATAATTTTTTAATTTCTTCACTATTATTCTAATATTTGTAATGTATTTTTGTTTTCTTTTCTTTTTAACTAATTACGTAAATGCATTTAAATTGTTCCTGGCATTGTAGTGTAACGATTCACATTATTTTTTAACGATATAAAAATAATTATTTCCTTTTGATATTAATGTTCAACATCATTTGCGCGAGTAAAATTTAACATTGTATAATTCATATTAATAATATTTATCCCGTCCTAGGAAAAATATTATATCCAATAATAGAATACACATATTGAAATTCAATTATCTGCAGAATGAATATTCTACTAAACATACAAGAGATCGAATCGAATATTATCATATTCAGCTTTTACATGTTTTCTAAAAAATCAAAATCTCTATATAGAAGATAAATTTTAAATATTCTCTAGAAAAATAGAATACGTATATGTATAAAAAGCTGGATAAAATATACGAATGGAATATCAGAAAAGCAGATGGTAAATAAATAATAAATAAAATATAGATAATAGATAATAAATAAATAAGACATAACATACATAAAAAGTGTAAGACATAAGACATAACAGGCGAAAATGAATAAATAAATAAATATCAAATAAAATAAATGGACAAAATAAATGGAAAAGTGGCTATTGTATATTAAATATTATATGTTAAAATAAAGTGATTAAATGCACGATTGCTGTGCATACAGGATACTTGTAATACACGATTCAATACCAAGATACGATTTTGCATTGGTTTCTGTTAAATAAATAGCAAATGCTTGCCTTGTAAGCGTCTGGTATGTTAACTGGTTCTCCACTTTCGGCGACGTATCCGACAATTCCCGTGCCCCAGGGAATTTTGATTTCATCTTTTTTCTCCATTTCGAGCAGCGTCGATCTCGAACATACGTCGAACAACTTTGAGACTAGACATCTGCTCCTCGCGTATCCTGTCCCACGTTGCTCGAAATTCCCATTTCCCGTTTTCCCTGAATTTGCATTGTCAGTCGAATTGTTCGACGAAGAATCGTGATTTTGCGATGAGGGCATGCAACCACCGCCTCTCTCGCCTTGGACAAGGAACAAAGAACCACGATCGGCGTGCAGCAATGTGCTCACATTCTGCAAGATCTTGTGACACAATGATCTCACATCCAGCTCGTTACAGATATCCTTTACCTACGAATAAATTCGTTATTATAGAAAACTTAATGTCGTTAATAGCAGTGAGGCACAGATAAAAATTCGAAATAATTAAATAATTATATCTTCTGATATAATTTTTCCGTGCTGTTTCACACAATTTTTTAATAAATAAATACAAGGTCTGCCCTAGAAATAATCGAATATTTTAACACTAGAACCACGAACGATTAATCAAACATAAAATTTGTCAAGAAAATAAAAAGAAATATAAAAACTCCATAATACAATAAATTACACAAGTTTTGATTTATATATTTTACGAAAAATCTCGAAACATATGTTGTTTTATATGTATAAATTTTTTAACAAAAATTATAAATTGATCATTTTGACCACAATTGATCAAATTGACCATTTTGATAGTTCTACTAAAGAACTGGCGAAACAGTAATTTTAAAATATTTATTTGAAATACATTCTTTCTGCAACAATATAAAGATTTGCACAATCAACTAATGCATCAAACGGCCTTTCTACATTATAGTAGAACCTTGTATCTTATTTCAATTCTCATTACCAATAAGTGTCTTTTTTTATAGTAATTTTATATGTATTATTATTATATGTTTAAAACATTTTATATAATTATAAAAAAAGTAACTAGAAGATACAAGATTTTAATAAGAAAACAATGCTAATAGAACATATAAGGTTCATATTTCATACCGTATTATAATAATTAATAATATGAAATGTAATAAGTCAGTATTTCATTTATAATATAATATAATGTAATAAAATAATATAATATGACAAACTAATATTTCGTTTATATAACATGAAATAGAATTTTTTAAAAATCGAAACAACTGAAATATTCAAAATATTTTAAACTTTGATAGTTCAAAGTATAAAAAAAATTGGATAGAACATTTTAAAACTATATTAAAAAAATTAGGTAGTTGAAAAAATGTTGCATTCTTAAGTATCGAAATAAACTGATAATTTTCTTAATTTTTGCTTAAGCATGTATTTATATATATAAATTATGCAATACGCAATTTAATATTAGAAGAATTCTATTGCTCAAAAATATTAACCTTATTGTTCAAAAATATTAAAATATTTTTATCTTCTTATTAGTTCGGATATTAAAGGCTTTAATATATTTTGTGAAAAACAATTGAAAATGTTCGTTTCAAGTTATTTGATATGTTGTCAAAATGCTTTTCTTTCGTGACTAATTTAAATCTGGGAAATAAGAAATTACACCAAGGAACTAAATCTGGAAAATACAACGATTTCATTTCAATTCTCTTTTCTTTTTTCTTTCTTTTCCTTTCTTTTGCAAAAAAAGCAGTAACAACGTGATATGCAGCTTTTATAAAATATATATAAAACTCAACTCTTCAATATTCAAAATTTTATAAAATTCGGACAGAAAACAAATCCAGGATGTATTTCTCGATGATGAAATTTCAATACAGAATTTAGTCTAGATTAATTGTTCTTTTCTTTTCTATTTTAAGAAGATCAATTATCTATCTATCAAGAGATAGACCTTTAAAAGTCGCATTATTCTAATAGTTTTATATCACACTAAAGACACTAATTAAATTTTATTACTAGGAAAACTTTTTAATGTTGCTCATTAAATAAAATGCAAGCTTTAGAAAAAGCTGTCAATAAGTTGAAGACAGAGAAGAATATTCTTGAAATAAGGTGTAATTATGTCCACATATTATTTTGCACTCTATATTCGAAATATCTAAGCATCTGTTTATTTGTAACAAGATATAATTCTGATATTACAAATTAAAATTATAGATAAAAAAATATACAATGATTTTATTCTTTATTATTATAATTATATATACTAGAATATTCTAATAAATTCTATAGTAAATAATTTAAATTTGTAATTTTTTAACTCTGTAAAAAACTAACAATTTTTTATTCATTAATTTGTTATAAGTTAGTACATTTCAATAGCATTAGATACTTAGTAAGTTTCCACCGTTTTCTGTTAAAACTTAAGACTTTATTAACACACAAAAATAAACAACACCTCATGCAAAGTATTTGCCATCATTAACTACAACATTTTGCCATTTTTCAGGCAATAAGTGAATCCCATGATAAAAAAAATTGTTCTTCTTTTGAAGCGATCCATTCATCAAGCTGAATTTTTGATATCCTCGTAAGAAGTAAAGTGCTGCTTCGAAAGGACTATGCTGCATCGATCGAAATAGATGGTAGTTCGAAGGAGCAAGGTCTGGTGAATACGGCAGGTGGAGTAACACATCTCATCCAAACCGTTCCAACGCTTCCTTGACCGGTTTTGCTACGTGCGGTCAAAAATTGTCATGCCTTTTGGCATATTATGGATGTTTTTCCTTCAATGCACTCAAATTGATTATTTGCTTTTTGTAACGAACAGCAGCGACTGACTCGGTTCCAACAGTTCATAGTACACCATGCCTTGTTAATCCCACCAAATACACAACATGAGCTTACTTCCATGAATAATCCATTTTAGTGACTGGCCAGCCTTCACCTTGACTTTCTTCTCTTCGGATTATCATAATGAATCCATTTTTCGTCACCAGTGGCAATTCGATGCAAGTGCTGGTCTTTGAAGCAACAATTCGCATATGGTTAAACGTCTTTCAAAACATGTAACACCCTGTAGTCTTGCTTATGAATAAATCTTGCTACTTTTAAACGCTTGTTTACAGTCGATTCATCAACATTTAATGATTTTAACAATTCTTTAAGCGTTTGATGTGGAGCTTCATTCAGTAATGTTTCCAACTCTTCATCTTCGAACTCTGTTGGTGCACCAGAGCGTTCTTTGTCTTTCACATCACAGTCGCCGAAACTTTCTCGAAATCGTTGAAACCATTTTCTACAAGTTCTTTCAGAGGGAGAATTAATATAAGTTTCTGCATTAATATAAGTTTCTCTCAGCTGCACTTTTCTCAAGCGTCGGGAGTAAGACCACCCGCAAATGTTCTTTTGCCGGCATGAAATTCAACATTTTCAATGCAATAGAAAAATTTGTTGTTGACAATGGCGATACTCAAATGGCTTGTACTGAATTTTAAAGCTTGTTTATAGTAGTTGCATACAGATGCGTCACCATCTTAAACTACTGCATACAATATTGGTGACACCAACCATCAGTAAGCGGCGGAAACTTATTCAAGTACTGAATATATATCATTATTAAAGAAAGAAAAATTTATTTAGTTACTTGTAAATTATAATATATAAGATATGAATTTATATTATTTTATATTTATTTATATTATAGATATAAATTTAACAAAATGTAATAAAAAGTCTTCTATATTACCAATAATGTAAAAAATCTAAAAAGAAATTTGTAATATTAAATAAAAAAACAAAAAAGCAGAGTAAAATACCAGGGTCATAATTTTAGAACAACAAAGGATAGACAAAAATTTTATTAAGCAATAGTTTCGACTGCATTATACGTGATGTTCGCAACATTATGGACCAGGATTTTTCTCATAAATTTTTGAAAATTAAATAGTAAAATAGTAATTTTTTAAAACAAATGAAAGAAGAAAAAGTTGTACCATTTTTTATAACCAATGTAATGACGCACCCCAATATTAGAGAAATGAAAGCCATCTCCAATTTTTTAAATGGAATGATATTTTTATATTATTTAAATGGAATGCATTAATCGATTATTAAGTTCTACATTCTCTAAAAAAAAAATGTATTAACCTATATCGAAAAACTATTGTTTTAGGAGATTTTAATTTTAATTTTATAAAATTTCTGTATGAAATACAGAGAGTATGGATACAAGAATTGCATGAAAGATTTTCTTTTACATGCTAGATATATTTTATAGAATTAAGATCAAAATATCTCCTAAACTATTAGTTTCTCGATATATATTAATTAATATCTTTTTCATGGGGAACATCGATTAATGAAACAAAAAATATTCCATCCAAAAAATTGAAGATCCTCTCTGTCTTTTGAACAACATTACAAATATAGAAAATTCGAATACGCCATCATGTTGGCCATGAAAAACTTTCTCCTCTTCCAATTTTTTTCAAAAACTTATCATTTATTAGAAAATACAAGGTCCATCGCGAATATATCCTGTATGATGTATATATCTGGATCAAAGATAAAAGTTTCTTGAAGAACTTTTATTTGTTATTTCTTGAGAGGCCTTCTTCAAGATCTGACTTTAAGCAAACTGTAAGATAAAGTTGCATATCTTTTTCCCAAAATTGATACACTTTTCTTATTCTCTACATAAAAAGATTTAACAAATATTTTTATTTCGATTTAATAATATTGTGATTACGTGGTTACGTCTCTCCTGATTATTTTGAAATGCAAGTGCAATATGTTTGAATGAAGAATAAGATTGCAACAATTAGGTAATAAAAAATATAAAAATTTATTTTCTAAAAATATAGACGATTTTTAATATTCCAAATTATCTTATTTTTCATTCTATTGCTTCAAGATTATGACTTGATTCAAATTTATTGTCAACATATATTTTCAATGGTACTACCTACAAAAAATTAAGTTGAAGCAAAATTTTTATTTTTTTTTATTAGATAAGAAAATTATTTTAATTAGTTGAATAAAGAATGTTACAGCATACACATATATACGTTTTCATAATTTTTTAATTAATAAAAAAAACGAAATTTCAATCATCAGTTTTAAACATTTCACAAAACATAAACATTAAATTTCATAAATATAAAAGATTAAATTAAATAAATAATGTTTACGAATTATTTAAAGATTGAAAATAACTTTAACTGTCGATATTACTGAGACATCAACCCACTTTGAAGTCCAACGTTGTGTTGGCACAACATTTCAATTGATTGAATTTCTTGATTAACAAGTGAATTTTCTTAATATTATGAAAATTATACTTTTGTGTAATACTTTTTAATAAATTAAAAACAGAATATAACTTTATTGTCAAGAAATTATAACATAAAAGAAAAACTAAATTTTTTTCGACAGCAAGTAACAAGGTTAATAAAGAGTAAACTAATGAATAATCAAAGATTATTTATTAACATAGAAAAAAATATATTTACAAATTGAATTGGCAAATGAAACAAATGTTCTCAGAATGTACTTGCTATTTCTGTAATAACTTCATTTTTCTTAATTTCGAATGCCAACAGAAGTGCCCATTTAACCACTTGCACTGGCAACTGATTGCGGACCATAACGAGTGACCAAACCGTATACAACAATTCGTCGCTTTCTTTTCGTCGGTATGATATCACTGGATATAAATTATTGAAAAGTAATAAATTTATTATTTGTTTTGTCTGGGCTATAAATATACTTAAAACTGAGAAAATGTTGCAATTTTGGGACAAAAAATTCTCGACGTGTGTGCGACGTCATTACAGCGCAAGAGGTTGATATTATCAAATTCTATTTCTAAATACTAAAAGAAATTTGGTTATGTCTTTCATCTAGATTCTATAATTTTACGAAATTTTAAGAAACCAAAGTATTTCTAGCATTGCGATGAATCCTTGCTTGATTCTCTTACGGATCAAGCAGAGAAATGCAAAACGAGGAAATCAACGAAATCAATTGAAATACGTACCAATTCAAAGATGAGATCCTTCTCATCGAGATGCCTCAATTCGTGTCTGGATCGTCTTTGGGGTCTGCCCGCGTTTCCCGAGCTAACCTGCTGACCTCCTGGTTGGCCCGAATCCCCAGGCGAAACGCTAAGAAATGTGGGCGTCCCGTCAATTGTGTTCACGATCGGCTTTAACAAACCACCGCGCTCAAACTCATGAGCTGAGATTTTACGAACAGGCGTTGTAGCACCTGATCCGCCAGAGCCACCCCGGCCAGAAGATGACGTACCACCTGCATGGGTAGGACTGGACAACTCCATGCAACTGCTCGACGATGATGTTGGCGTCGCGTGCGAGACTAGCCACATGTCTACCGTCTGTCTCGTCACTTTTCTGTGTGAGCAATTCTCGTTAGAATTTTATGAACTCCTTGCTTATTTGTTTTACTATTACAATTGTTATTTTTATCTTATTGTACAAGTTGCTCCAGGAGAAATCAAATACTAATATGTTTTGTAATGAAAAAGATTGTAGAAACTTATGGGTTTTGATTCGCTTGTTTTTTTATTTGTTTCAAAAAACAGATTTACTCATTTTAAAAATCTATTGTGGATCAAAACCCATAGTGTCTATAATCTATAATCTTTTTTCATTACAAAACACACTGGTTCATTCATATGTTTTTTATTTATTTCAAAAAACAGACTCTGAAAATAAGTAAATCTATTTTTTGAATTTCTAGATAGAAAACAAGCGAATCAAAATTCACTTATAGTGTTATGATATATGCTATTTTATTCAGAAAATACACTAGTAAAATTATGTATAACAGTTTCCTTCTGGGATATATATATATATAACACAATAGATCAGTGTTTCCCAACTGGCACCGGTCTCCGAAACATTTAAAAATTTTAATGTCCTTTCTAAGGTTATTTAAACCTCTCAACTACTTTTCACAGATATAAACCTAAATAAACAACGTGTATCCATCAAAAGAGAACATATTAAATATAAATCCCAATTTGAAATAATTAAATATTTTACATGTTCTCGATTCAACAATTCTTTCAATGAATCACACCGCTGCAATCATTGTCTCAATTCTGGATATCTCTCGATAACGAATATCCATCTCTGTTATAAAGCTATCAAATTGTTGATCGTTTTTTCGACTATGTCAGTAATAAAAACCAAACAAAGAAATCGATTGGATGTTAATGCTTTCGTCTCACAAAAACAAACCTGCAGCCACGTAGTATATCAAATTTATTAAAAAATAAGCAGCAACAAATGTCGCACTAAATAAAAATTATATTTGTATAATATTAGATTTAATAAATGAAATACCTATTTATATATTGTTTTTTTATGTTTAGCTGACACCGGTCCGCGAAATATTTTTCCTATTTTCGCCGGTCCGCAGATGTTAAAGGTTGGGAAACACTGCAATGGATAATATTGTTATATATAAACATATAGCAAGTATAACTCTCGATGCTCTTTTTGGACTTTATCATTGATTTAACGATAAACTAGTAACAAAAATGGAGAACTGTATGCAAAATTTCAGAATAATAATAAATTATTTGAGTTAAAATTTAGATTTATGATTGGTTCAATATATTTTAAGGTACACAGAATTAGTATTTTCTTCGTATCTAAAAGAATAATAAATTGATGACAGGAAAAATTAATATTGGTAATTACAAATTCTTCGAAATTTTATATATATATATATATATATATATTTAAACTTAAAATGGATTTATATGGAATGCTCTAATATTATAAAAGTACAGAATTACTTTTTATTACCTAATAACATACTATTATTATTTTAATATACTAATATATTATACATATATATTATACATATTCTTATTTATTTGTATATATATTTTATTTTATTATATACATTTATTTTTAAAATATTCTCTCTATTTCACATTAAATTAATATCTAGCAGGATAGCATTCAATCAAATTCAATCATAACGTAATATACATACACAGAACAGTTTGTGTAAAATACAAAATGTTTCAATAATACGTTTGATTAAAATATAATTTTATATGCAAAAATAAATTAAAAAGAAAGAATAACATTTCTTTGTTTTTGAGTTTGACAATTTATCAAGTATATCTTGAATTTAAGTAATTCCAAACTGAAAAATAATGAATAATACTGTATGAAAATAAGTGGGGAACATAGAATAAAAATTTTTCATTTTCTGAATTTTCATTAACCGTGGATAGTCGCAAAAGACAAAAAAGACAATGAAAGACTTGTCTGCAGACTTGTACTTTGTTTCCTGCCAGTATGTATAAAGTATTTTCGTTTTCGAGAAAATTAAATTTGAAAATTTATCGACATGTTTACCAAGGCCAATTCTTAAAAAAAAATTCGAGGTTTATCTTTTTAAAAATGAGGCTTTAAATTTTATTCTACACTTTTTATTTATTGCGGACGAAATTGATTCACTTCTCCAACCTGGAATTAGCCAAATAGGCATTATTTAAATAACATAATTGACTAATATATTATTTTATTTAACTATTGACATAACTAAACATTAATTTACCTGATCGTGAGAATAATTTTTTTTCTACATTATTTCATTATTCAATTTGTGAAATTTTATTTTATCTTTTTTCAATAATAATATTCTTACATATTAGATAATATTTATCCAAATGATTTTTCAAATACTTTTTAATCATTCAATAGATAATCTCGTTATAAATGTTTCAGATTATTTGCTATTTGAATAATTTTCTATAACTGAAATAAAGAATTATTTAGAAATAATTTATTTCTTCTAATTTCTATGTTATTTTTAAAATAACAATAATAAATCAGTTGAAATAATTCGTTATTTTATATTGTTGCATTTTATTTTATCTCAAATAACATGTGTGGCCAAATTCAAGTGTAATTTCATAAATTTTCAAATTTAAATTTCTTGAAAAGGAAATTTTAAATGAAAATATATTATTATTGTTTTAGAATCAAGCGCATGTATTATATTATACTACAATTACAAAAAAAAAAAAATTTGTGTAAACTAATTGTGGAAGATTTAATTAATTTTTTGTGTAAAATTGATATTTTCCTCTTTCATGATGTTTTTATCTTCACTCTCATTTTTTTCCAATTGAAAATAGCAAACTGTTTCTCAGCACAAATCTAACAGTGAAACTAGATATATAATACATTTTTACGCCAATAATTCTTATTTTTAAACATAAATTTATACCTGAAGCTTGAAACCTTGTCTGTTCGGTTTGTAAAACTTACACTATTTGAAAATATTGTACCGTCAGTTCTCCATAATTATTATTCTTCTACAATTAATATGCTAATTCGCGAAATTTATATTATTATTTTATTTTTGATCACATTTTGCTTCGAATATATAAACTATCGATCGTACTTTTAATACCCTTTCAAATAAAGGGTTAAGAGAGGATATTGGCTATAACAATAATCAATGAACATCAACAAATAAAAAATAAATAATAAACGTTTGCTAATAAACATTTGTACTATTTCATTAAAAGTAATGATTCAATTAAAGAAACTATTCGTAATTGGTCGATGAAGAATATTTAGGAACAATAAGATTAGTCCGGGAATACAGAATAAAACAATATAATTGTTGTTTAAAATTCAAATATTTTCCCGTTCTTTTACCATTTTATGGTAATTGTTAATTAATATTAAAATGACAACTAATTTGGAAATAATACAAAAATAACCTCGAAATTAAGCAGTTCGAAAATGGCAAACGAGAATGAATTTATTCATTACTGCATTCGATGCAAATATTTAGTGATAATACGTATTAGTGATAATTGGATGAATGTAAATTTATATATTTTTATCAATAATTACAAAATTATGATACTTTTATTCGTATTCTTTATTCGAAAAACTAAAAATTAAAAATTTTTAGATTAATTTATGTAAAAAAATGTATGTAAAAAATTTTATGAAAAAAAAAAAAAAAAGAAAGAAAATGTACAAAGCTAATAGAAATTTACTTCTTGAACTCCGCGAAGTTAAGTTTTTTGTAAGATATTATTAACAATCATTAAATCAAATATCATCGTAATTGCATAGTGAATCCCCGCATATTTCAAGCTAATTTTTTTTTTAATCTAATATATCTATAGTTTGCGTCAGTATTTAATTTCTTTATAATAGCAGTTTAATCTTTTGAATAATCTTATAAATTTGCGTATAAGCACCGTTTAGGAATACCAGAAAATATCAAAGCAAATAATAATGAATTTATGAAAATGTTATCAAAGTTTATAATTGGTTGAAATGTAAATTAATGCCAATTAATCAGCAATTAAAATTATATTTACAAAATACTTTCCAATCATAACTGTAATTATAAGGAAAAATACCGCACGTCATAATTTCAAAAAAATTTATACATTAATTAAGTTGTAAAATATATTTCTGTACTTATCACAAAAAATGTATAAAATTTTATAAGCTCAACAAAATAATAAAACAGTTTAATCAAAGTCCAACATTTCATTTATACACATATAAACATTGCAAGTCCATAAATTTTGTGTTAGATTACATAATAAATTCGTTCGCATGAACGATAATGTTAATATGTATTGATTGATTATTTTTTATAAATGAATTAAGTAATTTTGAATATTCCGTCTTTTTATCAAAATATTGCGTGTATATTTATATATCTTTACGTTCTTAGAATTATATATATATATATATAGAGTTACCTGTACTGAACATCTTTCATATATTGAAATGATTATATTATATTATTGTTAATAGGACAGTAAACTCAAGTCGTTCAAAAATCATAAGTATTTTCTGTAGTATAATACATATAATTCTTTTCATACTTCGATATTATCAATTATATTTTCAATTTCGTATTACACTTTCCATTAAATTTCTTAAATTTCTATTTATTAATTATAAATAATATTTATAATTAATAAATAGTAATTAATATTAATTATAACAATAATTATATATTAATTATAAACAATATTTATCTATTGTTAATTATAAACAATATTTATCTATTGTTCTGCTCCGCTATTCAATGTAGATGGATTATGTATATTCTCCACTGCAGATAATGTAAAGAACAGTTTCCATCATATTATATTATATTTCAGGATATTACTTTTAATATTCAGAAAAATGTAACGATAAAATAATTAGAATAGGATGATACAATAAGGTATAATTTCTTTTTATTTTCTATTTTTATTATAATTATAACTTATTTATAATTATATAAATTTTATAACTTATTTTGTATATTTTGTTAAAATTATATTCTATATTTTTATTTTATTAGAAAGTATATTAAATATACTATATATAGTATATTTTAGATATGTATATAGTAGATATTATATGTATATGATACATACATATGGGAAGAAAGAGAAACAATTATACAAAATAAAAAGTGAAAAAAATGTACATTTATGTACTGTAAAAGAAAATAAAGAAACATTATTAATGAGAAAAATTGATGTTGAGAACTTGAAACGAGAATATCTCGAAAGTGAAAGCACGTGACACGTGACATTTTTTTTTTAAGAACTGCAGATATACATTTACTTTTATAAATATTCGGGCACTAAATTTTCGATTCTTAAGAAATTTTTGATATTAAAATTGCTATGACAAAAATGAAAAAAATCGCATAAAACTTCACTTGAATTCATTTTAGAATATGATGCTTTTACTTTTATAATCCTGGATTCATTTTTTTCAAAGATATTTTTTTATCACGTAGCAAGTGGAAATTCTCTGCAAATAATTTCTAGAGTTACTAGTTTCCTCTAAAAATGCTTAGTTTAAAAAACATTATAACTGTACTAATAACTAAAAGATTATCGATAATTTAAATTTACAAGACGACATCATAAAAAGAGATCAAATGACCACTCGGTCTCATTTTAAAGCTTGAAACATTTGCTTTGACAGTCATGAGTTTCTTTCTTTCGAAGATAATCTTACATCATGTAGCAACTGGGAAAGTATATACAGGATACATTTTTCTCGAAAACTGTAAAAACTCAAACATTTGTAAAAACATTAAAAAATTTTTTTCGTAACTAGATCCATCATTACTTTGAAGAGCAAAATCTCCCTTTCACAAGGATCTCTTAAAACTTGTATTGATTTTTCCACTATTTTATTTTATAATAACGTTGAATATTAGAGTTAAATGACGAAAATTTACAGAATCCTAACATCTCGTCATTAATCCTAATCTTCCAAGTGCAAAAAAAGGTAAAAAAAATTTATACAGCGAGTTTTAAGGACTTAATTATGAAAAGATTTTTTAAATGTGTTTACACAAATTTTTACAATTTTCGAGAAGAAAAATATTCTCACTTTCCCACTCGTTGCATGATGTAAAATTATCTTCGAGAAGAACGAACTGACGATTGTCAAAGTAGAAGCTATAAATTATCGACAATTTATCATTGTCAATTGATACAATTATGCTTCTCATTGTATCTTGTATATATTCAAACAAAAATCAATTATTTCGTATAAAATGAACTGCAAATATTAAAAAAAAGAGAAAATATATGAAGGATACATATACTGATTATAAAGATTACTAAAAATATTGATAGAAAAGAAAGATGTATCGCTATTAAATTCACTATGTAATAATCAAGATTTATGTTATAAAATAGTTCGTGAAATAAATTAGACCGAAAACAATCGTAAATAACTTTAAAATTAAAAATTTCGCAGAAATATTAAAAAAATGAATTTCATAAAAGTCACAGATACTAATAATCATCAACAAATTGTGAATTTATATGCATTTATAGGAAATTAAAAAATACAAAATTATACAAAATGCAAATTATACAAAGTATAAAAATATTCAGAGTATAGTGATTTTTATAATATTTAATACGAAAATATATTTTTATTGAGATCCTTTTTTTTTAAATTATATTCTAAAAAAAAGAGTATGAATTTGCATAAAAATCTTCAATTTAATTATGAAATATGTTACCAACTATTTATACGTATTTATCATTTTTTTGTGATTTTCTAACGCGGCGATTTCATTTTTATAATCAATTTAATCTTTAAAATAAGTAAACTACGTGTTTTTTGGTTTTGTTATTATTTCAATATTGACAATATTATGGACGAATTGGCAACAGTAGTAATAAAACAATTAAATAAATACAATTATCACGTTCTTACATATACGTTTAAGTTCTTAATTCAGATTTAATACGCTTGATTAAAAAAAAAAAATATTTCAAATAGTCACTGTACAAAATAAAATTATATCGTGCATAAAAAAACATCTCACAAAATATTGTTTTAAATACTTTATCCCAATATGCTTCTTCACATAAAATGTTTCAAGAAATTGATGCGAGTTAAAAAAAGAATAATTCTATTTTTATAAAATGTATTTGCATTTTTCGGATGCATTGTAGAACTCGTAAAAAATAACAAACGAAGTAGGAAAAAAAGATTATACTATTAAATTCTTTCTTGAACAAATTTTTCCGCTTTACTAAATTTAAGATACAGAATGATTCAATTATAACATGTCTTTTTTTTTTTTTTACTGCAATTAGAAACAATCATTCTTTTGCAAATATAATAATGCACATACATTTTGAAGTTGCACTATTTTTTTTAAAATAGAAATTTGTTTTTTCACATCTCGAATCTTTTCATCATCGCATGTAAAAAGATATTAAAACAATATATTTTAATTTTGTAACATTACAATTCTGTAAAAAAAACAAGGAAAAACGTAATGGACTATTCTTGTGTTATGTTCTTTTCGTCTCGATAGGTTTTGCAAAATCAAACTAATGAATATACTTTATATAATATAATTTATCGTAATACTCTTTTATGGAATATGACACATACAAAAAAAAAGAAACATTTCCATTTGAAAAAACCGTGTAACATTTGCAACATTGTACTTACGGAAAAACTATTATCATAAGTAAATAGTCTACCTTTCATCTTTTTCTAATTTCAAAAAAAAAAAAAGGATATTTCATTACAGTCGGATGAATCAGCTAGTATAATCCATTGCAATTGCATGACGCACACCGTACGTTGTACAAAAGTATAAAAAACTAATCATGATCTTTAGTAAACGTATGTTATGACGTACAGTATACTACGATAGCAAACATGCTACTAATAACAACTGATTTTCTTTTTCAAAATGTAGAATTTCTATCATATATGTAATAACTACTAATTCGAATGTCGTAATAACGTGGACAAAGCTATTTGCACACTCGATAAAAAATTATTGATGCTTTAAATTGTTCGAACTTTGTGAAACAAACTCGTACATCAATCCAATTAGTCTCATTTTAGAGAGTGCAATCTCTACTGTACCAATTTTGAGACTTTTTCCTCAAAAGCATTTCTATATCATGGATTAAATGGAAAAACAAGAATACGTTGTCAAAAATTGATTGACTGATTGATTGATTTCGTTGTCAAAAACTGTAAAAACTCAAAAATCGCTGAAAATTTTTTTTCATAACTAGATCTACCATAATCTCAAAGATAGAAATCTTTCCTTGAAATTTTATTTTTCGCCATTTTATTGAATCTTTAACATCAAGGTTAAACGACAAAAATTCAAGAAATCCTACCGTTTTACCATTTAAATCTAATAATTTGAAGTAATCAATAAAACGGCGAGAAAAACTCGTATAGCAGTAAGTTTCAAGAGCAGACTTCAATCTTCAAGACCGTGATAGATTCAGCCGTAAAAAAATTTTCTCAACGTTTTCAGAAGCATTTGAATTTTGAAAATTTTCGAGAACAAAAGTATCCTTGCGTTCCCATTTGCTACATGATTGAAAAACATCTATTATATAGAGGGCTGTGGAGACTTTGCACTTTAAAACGAGGTGAACTGGATTGATTTCTGTAAAATTATAACAGTTTATCGATTGTATATAATACTTTCGTTCATTTCTGTATTTAACAACTGTAATTTTCGTAATAATCACCTGAGGAAATAGTCGTTGACGAAGTCTGGATGTTCGTCGAGCCAAGCTTCCATGCGGGCGTATTCCGGATCATAGACGGCAGAAGTCGAAGAGTAATAACCACCGGTGGACTTTCCATCCTGCACCTGTTGCAATGTGCCCTGACCAGCCACAGCAGTCTGCGCCCCTTGCATCCCCTGCACACAAGGAGCTGCCGTCTCCGCCGTCATTCTCGGTTCTTCGATGCTCCGCAAGTGCAGGCCTACTTGACAAACCAACTATCATCATTATGTATCCTTCTGGCGTTTCGATTCTTGCGACGATATTTATATTATAATATATTATAATATAAATTGCTTTTTATATAATATATAATATATATTATAATATATGTTGTCTTTCATATAATATATATTGTAGTATCGGTTATTATAATTAATCTGTAGTTATAATTTTAGTTATGTTTAAATATAACAGATGGCCTGTTTGCTGATGATCATAGAAATACGATAAAATATGAATGTGATGTGAGAAGCAGCACAACGTAAGCATGGAGCGCTTTTCTTTTTGAAAAGAGCAGAATGAGAGAGCATTGAGAGAGAACTGTTAAAAGTGTCAATTGTGTTGTTAACAGAGTTTATTTGAGTTGTTAATTCGTGTTGTTTAATTATTTGTTGTTCTATTATCATTACTTTTATTAAATAAACATTGTTTATATTATATCTCTACAATATTGTCTATTATAGATTATAATTATAGATTATATTTACAAAAACAAGAAATCAATAGTGGTATATCTATCTATCTATCTATCTATCTATGAAAAATGTCATCTTTTTTTGTGTCTCAATTTTATGACATTCTGTGGAGTTCTGTGCATTTGCGCACCTTTCGATTTCTCGCAAATGCACAGAACTCCACAGTCTAGTTATAACATTTAAATTGACTTTAGTTTTCGGACATACGTTATAAAATAAAGTTTCACTTTCGTGTTTTCGCTATTAACGCTTCTTTGGCAAATTATAAATATATTTGAAATATAGCATCGTTCACTGTATTCAAATTTAATTTTTTTTTCTTTTTTTGCGGTTATTTGTTGTTTTTAATGATTCAAATATCCATGCAAGGAAAACTTGCAGATATTTAAAACATCTTGTTAGATTAATATTAAATTAGATTAACATTCAAATAGCTCGACAGCATAAAATGACAATGAAAAATCGTTCATCATTTTGAATAAAATAATACATTTCTTTGCGTTTTGTTATTTTTGAAAAGTTCGATTATTTTTAAATAAGACCTTGTATTTATTTTGATAAACTTATACAAAAATGTTACTGCATAGAAAAAGATATTTCGATATAATAATTTTTATCAATGCTTACTTGAAATATATACTATTCTAATAATAGCAAATAAATACTCTTCTATAGTATAATAATATTCTAATAGCAAATAAATACTATTCTATATAATAACGAATTTATTATTTTAATTGATGTTTGCAATGTAACATAAATTACTATCATTACATATCCAACAATACTAATTGAAGACTAAGCGAAATATTTTTCAAAGATGTCTTTTTCAAAAAATAATACTTTGTGTAAATTTATAAACATTTACATATAATAAATAAATAAAATATAATATATAAGAAAGTAAAATAGCAAAATACAATTAATTTACCGTTTTAATACAGTCTGTTAAAATTCAATTCGATTATAATTCATCTGAATAAAGTGAATAAAAAATATCTACATTTGTCATTTACCAAAATATAATCACATCCGGACGCTATGGTCCAGAATTCGACAAAACGTAATCTGATTAATAATTGACGGCTTATAATTAATGTGAAATTAAAACATTAAATGTATGATTAGTAATTAAACGTATAATCAGTAATCACTGATTAATAAACAAGAAAAATCAAAATTATTACAGTTTACTTCTATCAACAATGTAGTTTTGTAGAAATTATTTATTTATTATTTGCATTTTTTTGCAGTGTACACAACCTTAAATTTTATTAGGATGTGTTCAAAAACTTTTTCATAAATTAAGTCTCATCTATATTGTTTTTGAGTCATTATTGGTACAATATTCTGTATGGCTCATTGAAGATGGACTTTAATGATAAAACTTCTGCCGAATGATCAAAATTTTGAGATTCTTCATTATGATTCGCATTCATTCTTATATAAAAATATATCAAAGGATTATAAACTTTAACAAATTATTTTAAATAAATTAATATAAATACTATAATGCAATAAAAAATACATGTAGATATTCTTCCTAGTTTTTTAGTCTATCAAAAGGGTTAATTATTTGAACTACGATTTAATGTGAATTGCGATTTAATAATAACATTTAATTATATTGAATAACACAATCTTACGTGATTAATACATTTAAATGTGACATATAATCAAATTTTGTATTATAATTATTAAACACAATTTTTTACATATACATATATATATAATTATATACATAGTTATATACATAAGTAAATTATATATAATATAGTGTATTTTTATTTTAAAAAAATATGTAATAATAATACAAGCTAACCTACACCAAATGGAAAATCGAAATAATATTAAAATCAAAATGGAGGAAAATTTCTTGCAATTTAATGTAAATTTTGCACAATTATTCCATAAAATAGAAAAAAAATTCACTTCGTAAAACGTAAATCAAAAATCTAAGAGAAATTATTTTAAAAAGTTTCGAATGTAAAATGATACATTTAAATAGACATTATTAAGCTATCGTTCGGATCAAGTTAAATCAAAATAAATCATATAAAAAAAAACTGAATTCGTTTTTTCTAGTAAATCAAAATCCATGTAAATATAGAATTGCGTATGTAAATAGAAAAGAGATTCATACAAAACTTCTCATTTTTAAATAAAATGTGTATTCCTCTATAAAGATTATTAAATCTATAATAATTTAGTAAATTTTATAACGAATGAATAATTAATAAATATTTGAAAATTTAGAATAAAATTATACAAATTTTAATAAATTATATATATAATAAATAACAAATATATATATAAATGCTTTGTCTCAAATGTTCAAAAAATAATTTAAGTAAAATAGTAACTATACAGAATAAATTATCAATTAAATTATTTTAAACATAAAATAAATGAGAGACAAAACATTTTCTAATATCCTAAAAAAATTATATCATTTATTATTATATATTATTAATTAAATTAAATTATATCAAAACGTGATTTAAATATTTGCGAGAAGAACTCTTCTTAAAAAAATATAATATTCGTAATTTTACATTATACTATAGTGATTTCATTAATAATATTATATACACGTTTCTGTAATAATATGTTCGGACGTGTGGAGATCAGACGATACAATATGAAGATAAAATTGTGAAATATTAATATAAACAAATGTACTTATGAATACTTCATAAAGATGTAAATTAAAGGTTATAAATTCCTATGTTTTTACACCCATTTGCACGGAATAAAATATTTGCATAAAATACCGTTAATTTATATGCATGTAACAATTGCATATAACGTTTGCATAGAAAATACTTGATAAAGAAAGAGAAAATAGATTGAAATCTAAATGATAATTAGTGTCCATAATCCTTCGGAACGATGTACAACAGGTTAAGTACATATTTCGATTGATGTATTATACAACAGGCAACTATTACAAATGAATATATATATATATATATATATTACATATCTTACATGAGATGAAACCTCGATGCATTTTATATAGTGCGAGTTATTGCTTCTTAAGCGATTTATACTTTTCTATTTAAATAATTATTAGGATATTACAATATTATGATACAGAATTTAAAGCACACGTAACCTCCAACTTCTAAACACCTACGAGTAGATTGTTATATCGAATGTTGTGACGTCAATTGTACATACTTACACTGAATTTCACCAGTCAAGGTCGTTTGAAAATTACACAAACTTTTACGTGATTTCAAAGGTGGAAATTGAAGTGAAAATAAATTTCACATACTAGCCTTGTATCCTCTACATTTACAAATACTATAATAAAAAGTATCTTTATTTTATTTAAGAGATATTCACTTGTAACGCTTACGTAATACGTCATGTATACCTATAGGCAACATCGTGATCACTTTCTAAATTTCCTACCGAAATTCTAACAAACCCAAATACAGTATGCTATTATCTTTAACGAGGAATAAGGCACTGATTTATTTAATCTCTTGCGCTGGAATGACGTGCCACGCACGTCGAGAATTTTTTGTCCCAAATTGTAACATTTTCAGTTTTAAGTATATTTAAATGTAACCCAGGCAAAACAAATGATAAATTTATTACCTCTTAATAATTTCTATCTAGTGATATCATACCGACGAGTTAAAGAAGAAGAAAGCGACGAATTATTGTATACGGTTCGGTCACTCGTTATGGTCCGCAAACCAGTTGCCAGCGCAACATGTTAACTCATCGATGTATTACGATCAGTACTGAAATGACGTTTATGCAAATACATATTTTTATAGAAAAAAAATATAAAAACGGGGCCTGGGCAGAAATTTGTTTTATCAGTAGATAATTCCAAATTTTTTTAAATCTTTTTATTTTGCATATTTCGCATATTGCGTAAAAGTATGCTGCACATGTCATTTATATTTATCAAATGTACTTTTGAAACTTGACATTATTTACTGAAATTTCAAATTAACTTTTCGTGAATTAAATCAAAACATCGTTATATTTAACGTGACTGATATATCATTCTATAGAATACATAATAATATAAAATATTACGCGATACCAAATAATTCTCCAGGAAATGACAACAAATACCGTTCTCGAGTCAATACAATCTAAACCACTGTAATAATTCTATCACACACAATAGATCAATACAGTTTGAAACAGCAAACTCGTAACAATAGTATAATATATAGCAAACGAGTAATGTTTTAAGTTAATGAAAAGTTCAAAGTAAGAAAAAATCAACATACGTTGATTCACGATTGGATTGACGGAATAGGAATTTTATTATAATAACAATTTTATGAATGAAGGATCTGTGCACTATAACGTATGTGAAAAAGAAATCTCATAAATATTAAGTATTGAAACTGTTATAATTTAGTTAACTGTTATGTCAATTCACTGTTATAATAAAAAGAAATCGTATAATAATAAATTTAAGATGATTTCAAAGTTTAAAGTCTCTATTTTGAAAATGCATCATTCGTTTTAT